CTACTTAATATTTATACTAGGCAAACGAGTTATATTATACGTAAGAATTAATTGTCATTTAGATAAGTATCTTTCTTTATTATAAAAAATAGAAGACAAATTTAGAATATGAACAAAATCAAATATATTTTCCAATACGTTAGTATAACATCCCAATTAAAAGAAAGGGGAAATTACATGGTTAAGCAACATATACTGGTTAATTAGTCATTATAGCTATAGTTTTAGTTAATTATCACTTGCGATCAACATTCAATGATAATTATGTGGGTTGAGGTTTTGAGTTTATATAATTCGCACGTTTGTATAATTCAGAATTTGTATAATATAATTTATATAATTTTTGTATAATATAATATAATTTTAGATAATATAATTTGTATAATTGTTTAAAGTTCAGATGTCTGCGTTTGTATACATTCGTTATTTTGAATTTATACAAAAATAGCCTAATTATACAAACGTATTCGCGAATCATACAAAATCACCCACGAATTATACAAACTTGCGAATTATACAAACAAGATATTTTAAACTGTAGCTACAACCCATAAATATGCCAAATAAAGCTATGGAGCATAATTAAATTTATTATACTGACTATTTGAAAAAATTCGTCAAAGAAGAATCATGAGTTAGTTGATTTTTTGAGAACTCGACGTATAGACTTAGGTAGAGTTCGAAAATGATATGAATATTTGGAATTTTCTATTTTCTTGGCTTAATTAATTTAAAGAGATGCCGACTTCCAGCAGCAAGTGCAAGTGTGCAATTGCTCTTTTTAGAATACGAAAAAGAGGTCGTTGTATCACTTTGAAATTTGTCTTTTTCAATAATAGTTTAAATTATCATCCTTAAATTTTTGGATTTTTTAAATATCAAGTCAAATTAATTATATTATATTCTTAAATTTATAAATAAAATAAAATCAATCAAAATCAGGTTTCTCACTTTTGATTTTTTTATTTTGTCAATTTTTTTCTTGTAGAGTCTTTATACAAACATATAATTAATTTTTGCTTCAAATATTTATTTAATTCTAGAATAATACAACTATTTAAGGTGTTTCCTGGAAAAAAAATGCGAGATGAGTGATACCATAAAGCATTCAAACAACAACAAAAAAAACTACATGAAAAATATGACAAATTAATAAGTCGTAATGAAAATGACATAATATAGTCAGGACCCAACCCGCCATGAGAGGCACCCACACTACACCCCCGCTAGGAGAATCAAATCAAAATCTAATACACAAACAACAACACAACTAAAAGGAATAGTTCTCGTTAAATTAAACAAGCCATCATCAATCTTAACAAAAACATGCAGAAGGACTCCCCCTAAACTTGAAAGTCGTGTACTAAAACATCTATATAGTCTAGAATATGGGGATGCGATCCCAAAACAAAAAATATAAGTCCAACAAATGAACTAGAGGGAAAAGATGAAACTATAGTAGCTTGGAAGAAGCAGCTCACCCTTGGATTCAGAAAGCATTGGACTCACAACTGAGGTTCTGCAGCTGCCGCCGAAGTAGGGTCATGTACTCAACAAAGAATGAAAAAATGCAATATCAGCACACAAAATCCACAATGTACTGGTAGGATTATCGGTCAACTCCAATTATACGAAATATGAACAAGAAACCAAAGCTTAGTAAACAACACGATATGCAAATACAGTCACAACCAGGGGCGGACCTAGGTGGTTCCTAGGGGATTCCCTTCGTCGAAAAATTACACTATATATAAGGCCGAATTATGATTTTATGAGTATATATATTATAATGAACCCCTTGAAAATAAGTGAGAAGCTTAGCTTAGTGGATAAGGGGTTCAAGAATTGTCTTTACATCGTGTGTTTGAATCCCACGCATAGCAAGTCTTTTTTATTTTTTATTTACCCTTTTTAATGCTAAGGAATTGGGCTCAACTTTGGGCTTGAATCTTCTTTTCTTTTTTCATTATTTTTTCTCTTTTATGTCATTTTCTTTTTTCTAATTTGTCTTTGTTTAAATTTATTAGACACTTTTTTTTAGTTTTTTTATTGAGGATTCTTCTTATATCTATTATTCATTTTATTTCAACATAATTTTATGTACTAACTTGAATAAACTCTTTAAAAATGATGAATTATATTAAACTTGAAATTGATATATATATAAATTACATGTTATTGAATGAAGAAACTAAAATTCGTCAATATCCTTTTAATATTATCAATTTAATAGAATTCATCGAATTTCTTTTCTATTTTTTCAATTCAATTTTAGAGAGATGGAAACTAAATTTATCTGGTTAATCTGTCATTTCTTTTTTTTACAAATGATGTCTATCCTAGTAAATTTAACTACATGAACTAAAAAAATTGACGATGCCATTTATTTATCTTCTGAATATGCATTATAATATTAGTAACTCTATACTTGCACAGTTTTAGAGAATCTTGACGATTTTCCTAGTAACATGTGTTTGAATGGATCCTAATTTTTTTTAAAAGTGCAATAAAGTAAAATATTACAAAATAAAAGTATAAAAAACACAAGAAATTTTAAGAATGTTCAATGGAGCAAGGTAAAATTAAGAAGAAATGCTTAATGCGGTATGATAAGATAAGTTAAATTTAGTGGGTTCAGGTAAATATTTTTCTTCCCCGTCTCACTTCTTTTTTCATCCTTTAATTTTCACGTGTTTTAGAAATCAGCTTATGCAGTACAACAAATCCACTTATTTTTTTAATCAACGTAGCTTTGTTCTTAGTATATTTGATTAGTTTGGTGTTTACTTTTATCAACCAATGAAATATCTATGGTTGCTTGTACAAAAGAGCGTGCCGGGGGGTAACTACGCTCACCACACACTTACATTACCATCCGAGCTTCTTTTTAAGCTTCGAACCCTCTGAACAAAATTCTTGGATCTGTAACTGGTCACAACCAGTAACAAAATTCTCGGGTATTAACTTAATTTTTTTGGCTAGGCCAGCTTAGACAAAATTTGGGATAGGTGAGGTCTAGGGCCATCCAGGAATGGGTGGGTGTGTTTTTGAGGTTTTGTTGATGCTTTCTTGTAGCCAAGGCATTAAGATGTTTTCCAGGACGTCAAGAAAAGAGGTTGTGTTGTAAAAATGGTATTTTTGGACTTTTGAGCTTCTGAAGTTTCTTCGAGGCCACTATAGCAGAAGGCGTCCCACTATAGCAGTGCTCAGATCGCTATAGTGGGGTTAATTTTCGCTATAGCAGACTGGGCCGTTATAGCGGGGTGAAATGAGTTTTATTGCAGAAATAGCCCCAAATTTCTTATTTTCTATACTTTGTGTTCTTGGATTTGGGATGAGCGATTTTGGGCAGTCTGCCCTTGTTTTTCCCATAGAATTCGTCGATAAAGATAAGAATTTGACTCCCCAACCTTGTGAATTGATTCTTAAGCCTTAGAATCTAGGTTATTGTCATTGGGGGAAGGTTTTGACATGATGGGAAAAGCCCTAAGTTGGGAAGATGATTGATCTTGGGCATATTTATATGCCCAATTACTACAAATTACCTATTTTTTAACGTGAGTTTAAGGACATTCACTAATCTAACTAAGATGTTTTACTTAGAATTGTGATGATTGCATACTAACATACATGATTAGCAATTTTGCAAGGTTCCTAAGGGAAGTGATCGATTCAAGGAAGGAAAAGGAATTGAAAACGACAAGTGATGCCATGAGCAAAAATCGGTGCGGCGCCCCATCATCACTGGCGCAGCAAGGGCACGACACGCCAAGGCCCAGTTTACTAGGGTAGCATTTTGGCGCACTGGCAGCACTGCGCACCAGCCTGCCAGGCGCGATTAGGGCACGATGCCCCACAACCTTGCGGACGTTTGAGCAAAATTTGATTTAAAAAGGACTCCTTGTTAAAATAGATTTAGGCTCTAGTTTTCCTAACTTTTATAAATAGACTCCTAGGGCTAATTTGTAGAGGTTCGACATTATTTTGGTGTGCAAGAGAAAATTTCATCATTTGTAATAGGTTTCGATCTTCTAACTCTTCTATTTTCCGGAAATTGCATGAACAATAGTATTTTGTGGTTTTCTAATAGCATGAGTGGCTAAACTCCATAGTTCTGGGGTTGTAGCTATGAATCGAATGTTGAATATCTAAGGTTTATGAATTAATTCTTGGTTGTTATTATAAGTTACTTTTATATTCTTGTTTTACTATTTTTTGCTTGCGCACCATAAGATAAATCTATTTTCTAAGCTTAAAATCGAGAGAGGAGGGATTAGATAGACTAGAGAATATAGAGAGCTTGATTGACCAATTAAGTTGAGGTGATTTTTGTTCAGGAGTGACGCCCAGACGAACAACTCGCATGGTTACGAAACATGATGAAATATAAATGCTCGCCAGTTAGTCTGTTTATCCCTGCTCAACGATGTAGTTAGGCAACTAATTGGAGTAGGCGACTAGAGGTGTGTAACCCGACCTATACAATTAACTATGTAAACTAGTAAGTTGACAACTAAAATTAGTTCTAAGCCAATAGTATGATACATGAGATTCATTGCATGTTGCAGCCCTGGAATTGTCTTTTACTTGCTTGAAACATCATCTTAAAGTCATTCACAAGTAATTACTTTTAGTTATTGCATAATTCGTAGCAGTTGTAAACAATCATCACCAACTCTTGATGTGGAATTGAGTGTTAGATATAAATCGATCATAAGTCCCTTGGGAACGATAACTCGTTTCTTTAAAGAATCTATATTACTTGCGCGACCACGTACACTTGCTTGTATATTGGGGAGCAACAAGTTTTTGGCGCCACTGTCGGGGACTTAGAAATTGATTTATATTCGATTTTCTTAAGTCTAGAATTAGAATATTCAGGTGTTAATTACTTGATCTTAACTTTTAATTGCAGGCACTGACTTTCAAGTCTGGCTCAGAAAGGAGAACTTGTCGAACTAGACAACAAACCCGAAAGAGCTTTATGCCGACGCAGATAAATGGCTAATCAAGGACGTCATGGAGAATTGGGGTTAGGTCTTCAGGAAGACAATGAGAAGAATAACCAAGACAACGTGAATAACCGAGAAAACTTGAATAACCAAGGGGCACCCCCTGTCGTACCTGCAAGACCAGTCCGTGATGTGGCAGTCCCACTCATAGCTAATGTGGCATCTAGTATTAGGAAACCTCCACCGGGGGTAGATTTGCACTAAAACAGGACATGGTACAACTCATCCATTCTAATGGAAAATTCACTGGTTTCCCCCACTAGGATCATCAAATCCACATTAGAAACTTCATAGAGATTAGAGATACTTACATCCTAAATAGAGTCTCATCGGATTATGTGAGGCTGACGTTGTTTTCGTATTCATTGTTAGGAGCCGCAAGGCGCTGGTTAGATTCTGAGCCACCAAACTCCATCACCACCTGGGATTACCTAGCTATAAAGTTCTTAGTCAATTCTTTCCATCCAAGAAAACAGCACGATTAAGGAGTGAGATATTAAGCTTTAATCAAAACCAGGGGGAGGATATGTACCAAGCATGGGCTCATTTTAAGCAAATATTTAATGCCTGCCCGCACCACATGCAAACTAATGAGGTACTTACTCACACGTTCTTTGAAGGTTTAGATTATAATGCATATGTACTTCTTAATAGAGCAACAGGTGGACAAGCCCTAGCAAAAACCTGTGAGGAGTTGTTCAACTTACTTGATAGACTTTTCGAAGGGAACCCAGGGTATGAAGGGGAAATGCCTAGAACCACAACCCAAAAGGCCCTGGGGATCTCAAATGTAGATTAAGCTACTACCATAAATGCCAAATTAGATGCAATGCAACATAACATGACCTTACATTTTAAACAGATGGACCTAAACCATGCATCGGTAAACATTGTACAACAAGCAACAAATTGGTGTGGGGTATGTGGTAGTGGAGCTCATGAAACCGAACTATGTGAGGAAAACCTGAATTTCGTAAACTATTTGGGTAATGCGCAAAAGGATGGAGGTTAGCAAAACTATGGTAACACTTACAACCCTAGTTGGAGGAACCATCCTAACTTCTCATGGGGTGGGAACAAAAACCAAAACCAAGTGCAAGGGGCCAACCAATACCGTTCTAAAGGGGCTGGATAACAATACCAAAATCCTAACCAAAGCGCAAATCCTAATGCACCAAAAAGGAGGATGACCAATGAGGAGCTACTCCAAAAGCTCATGGCTGAAATAGGGACAAAAATAAATGCTAGGATAGATAAGAAGGATAAGAACATCAGAAACATCCAAATGTCCCAAATGAGTTTAGAGAAACAAGTTGCGCAAGTAGCTAATTCTCTGAACTTGCGTCCCCAAGGTGGACTGCCCGGTGATATTGAATGCGGTAAGTACTAGAAGTGGGCTACAACTAGAGAAACTAGCTCCAAAGAAGAGAGATATTGAGGCTGGTACTAAAGAAAAGAAAGTGGAAGATGTAGTAAAAAGCTCCAATGTTGAGACGCCCGTTCCTCAAAAGAAACTACCCCCTCCGTTTCCACAAAGGCTCAGAAAGTAGAATGAGGGTGAATGCTTCGATAAGTTTCTCTCTCTCCTTAAACAGGTTCACATTAACCTACTTTTAGTTGACATGTTGCAGGGTATCCCGAAGTATGCTAAGTACGTGAAGAAAATAGTGGCTAACAAAAAGAGGCTCACGGAGTACGAAACTGTGGCACTTACTGAGGAATGCAGCTCTAGAATCCAAAATAGACTACCCAAAAAGTTAAAAGATCTGGGTAGTTTTACTATGCAGATTACAATTAGGCAAAGTGTTCATGCCTGGGGGTTGTGTGATTTGGAGCAAGTATAAATTTGATGCCCTTGTCGTTGTATAGAAAACTTGGGTTGGATAGTCCAAAACGAACCACTGTCATTCTCCAACTCACTGATAGATCCATTGCTAGGCCGTAGGAGGTGGTAGAAAATGTGTTAGTACAAGTAGGTTCCTTGATTTTTCTGGTGGATTTGTGGTCTTAGACTTTGAACCCGATTATGAAGTTCCATTCATTTTAGGATGTCCGCTCTTGGCCACGAGGAGGGCATTAATTGATGTAGCAGTCGTACAATTAACTATGAGGTCACATGATAAGGTTGAAGTGTTTGATGTTTACCGCGCTTTAAAATTGCCTTCTAGCTATGAAGAATTATCTGCTATTACTGTTGTAGACCACCTAGTAGAGTCGCAATTAGTTGTACCCGATGATCCCTTAGAAAGAGTGTTAGTGGGTCATGAGGTGGATGGAGATACTGAGCCCCAAGATATAGAAACATGTTTGAATCTAGCACTTGTGGAGACTCACAAACGTAGAGTAGAGCCACTAGATCGTGAGTTAGGACCTCCACCAAAGTCCTCGATAGAAGAATCTCCCAAGCTAGAGTTAAAAACGCTGCCTGCTCACCTAAGGTATGCATTTTTAGGTGCTAATGAAACTTTGCATGTTATACTTTCTGCAGAGTTGTCTGAAATACAGGTTGATGCGACATTGAGGATTCTAAAGCAGAAAAAGAAGTGATTGGATGGAAGATGGCTGATATTCATGGGATTAGTCCGGCATTATGTATGCACATGATCTACATGGAAGATGATCACAAACCAAGTGCACAACATCAACGTAGGCTAAATCCTTTGATGAAAGAAGTGGTAAGGAAGGAGGTAATAAAGTGGCTAGATGCTGGAATTGTGTACCCGGTTTCTAATAGTAAGTGGGTAAGTCTTGTGCAGTGTGTTCCCAAGAAGGGAGGTATGACAGTGGTAAGGAACGAAAGAACGAGTTGATCCCTACTAGAACAGTGACCGACTGGAGAATTTGTATGGATTATTGAAAACTTAATGATGCCACCCGGAAATATCACTACGCGGTTCCCTTCATTGATTAGATGCTTGACCGACTAGCAGGGCAGGAGTACTATTATTTCCTAGATGGATATTCCGGATACAACCAGATCTTAATTGCACCCGAGGATCAAGAAAAGATCACGTTCACTTGTCCTTATGGTACCTATGCTTTCAAACGCATGCCATTCGGACTTTACAATGAACTGACGACTTTTCAAAGGTGTATGATGGCCATTTTTCATGATATGGTGGAAAACTTTGTAGAGGTGTTCATGGATGATTTCTCCATCGTTTGGAAGTCTTTGAAGGTATGTGTCCGGAATCTTGATAAAGTACTTGCTAGGTGTGAGGACACGAACTTAGTGTTAAATTGGGAAAAGCGTAATATTTTGGTTAGAGAGGGGATAGTTTTGGGTCACAAGGTGTCAAAGTCGGGTTTAAAGGTTGATAAGGACAAGGTAGAAGTTATTGAGAAAGTTCCCCCTCCCATTCTGTAAAAGGGGTGCGTAGTTTTCTTGGTCATGCAGATTTTTACCGGTGATTCATCAAGGATTTTTCCAAGATTGCTCAACCTATGTGTAGTCTTTTGGAGAAGGAGGTGAAGTTTGACTTTGATGAGATGTTGAAGAGGAACTTAATTGAGGCTCCCATCTTAATTGCTCATAATTGAGAAGTACCATTTGGACTCATGTGTGATGCAAGCGACGTAGCAGTGGGTGCAGTGTTGGGATAAAGAAAAGATAAGGTGTTCCACTCGATCTATTATGCAAGCAAGACTGGATTCTGCACAAGCTAATTACACAGTGACTGAGAAGGAGATGCTAGCTCTAGTGTTCGCCTTCAACACATAATCCACAACCACAATGATGTATTGGTTTCCATTCGATGGCGGGAAGGGAACCATTAAGTCAATACCCCACACATAAAAAATTTCCACCTCCAAAATGTTACTTAGCGACATCTTATGTCTTTTTGAAATAGTACCCAACCTTTGGCATTTATCACAACCCTTCACAAAAGCAATAGAATCTTTAAATAACGAGGGCCAAAAGAAACTAGATTGTAGTACCTTATGCACTATACGCTCTCCTACATGGTGACCTCCATATGGGCTAGCATGACAACTTTCGAGCACTTTTTGAACCTCATACTCCGGAATGCATCTTCTCACTGCCCGATCCACACCTTGCTTGAACAAGAACGGTTCATCCAAGATATAGAACTTAGCATCATGATTGAGCTTTTTCTTTTGTTGGGTTGTTGCACCCGGAGGGTAATCTCCACTTACTATGAGATTCATAACCATTAATTGTTCATCTGGAAACTCTTCCCGGATTTTCTCACATTCATTCACATGGGAAAAATCCTCCAACCTAGACAAGTGATCAGCTATTTGATTTTCAGTACCTTTCCTATCCTTAATCTCAAGGTCAAATTCTTGGAGAAACAATATCCATCGCCTTGGTTTAGCTTCCTTCTTAGGTACCTAATAGCTGCATGATTAGTAAAAACAATCACCTTAGTACCTACCAAATATGATCTGTAAATGGGTTGAGATTGTCGCTCTTCCTTCGAATGATTCAATGGTGATGATAAAGTTCATCAAGAAACACATCTTCACTAGCTTTGGTACTCCAAGAGCGGCAATCATAAGTGATGGAGGTAAGCATTTCATTAACCATCTAGTTAAAAATATTCTTGCTAAGTATGGTATTCGTCATGAGGTTGCTATAACTTACCATCCCAAAATGACTGGCCAAGTGGAGGTTTCAAATAGAGAGGTGAAGTAAATTTTGCAAAAAATGGTGAATGCGCAGAGGAAAGATTGGTCTGAGAAGTTAGATGATGCATTGTGGGCATATAGGACTGCGTATAAGACACCCATAGGGACTTCTCCCTATCACATAGTATTTGGTAAAGCATGTCATCTTCTGGCGGAATTAGAACACCAAGCTTATTGGGCGATTAAGAGGTTGAACTTGGACCCCGAGCTGTCAGGTAGAAAGAGAGTGAATCAATTGCATGAACTTGAGGAGTTTAGGCTCCACGCGTATGAGAATGCCAATATTCACAAAGAAAAGACGAAAATGTGGCATGACAAGCACATAGTTACTCTTACTTTCACTCCAGGAGAAAATGTACTACTCTTTAACTCTAGATTGAGGTTATTCCCCAGAAAACTAAGGTCTAAATGGAGTGGTCCATTCGAAGTGGTAAGAATGACACAACATGGGGCTGTTGAACTTAAAGGTGATATTGTCCTTACGTTCTTGGTAAATGGGCAAAGGGTGAAACACTACTTTGGTGTATATTCGGATCATGATCGGGAGGCTCTGGAGCTAAATGATGAGTGATCCAAGCTGAATTGTGCCGCGACGTTAAATCAAACGCTACACGGGAGACAACCCGTGAATGATATGTAATAGGTAGTAGTTTGGATTAATTTTAAAATTTTAGCTTAGTTTCAAATTTCTAGGTGTAGAGTTTTTATTTTTTTTGGTTTGTTATTTGGATAGGACTTTAGAAGCTATAAAGAAAAATACAAAAAGATGAGTCGTTCCACGACCAAAACTAAGGCGTTGAGTGGGAGGCAACCCACTATTATTATGTCACATTGTGTGGTCGATGCGCAGGTCATAGGAGGAGAAACCACCCGAAAAAAGAAGAAATATGTTGAAAAATGCAGTTTTGCAATTTGGGCGCGCCATGCCAAGGCTAAATTACTGGGGCCACTTTTTGGCGCATTGGCAGCGCAACGCGCCACCATCGCGCTAGGCCCCTAGAGAACGCCGATGGTAGGCGCAGCTTGGGCGCGCCGCGCCACACTTTTAGGCTCATACAGAGCACCTCGCGCCAGAAGAAGTTTGACTGGGGAGGTTTCTGGCGTACTGGCAGCGCCCCCCTATTGCGCCAACAAGTTTTATGGAAATTTTTGGGAATTTCGTGGGACCCACTCAAATTCCAACCTTTCAATCTTCCACCTACCCACATACACCCCATTTTTCAAAATTCTTCTCTCTCTTAAACCGCCCCTCTCCTCCAAATTTTCTCTAAATCCCAATTTTTTCTTCTTCTTCTTCTCCACTTCTTTTCTTCCCCAAAATCCCAAATTCCTCCATTAATCCTTACTAAAACATTCTTCCGTTGCCTTTTTCCCATGCCTCACCCCTAAAATCCACTCTAATCCACCAAACTTTCAAAACCCCACCCACCCACCCCACTGCCCACCCGACCCCCCCTCATTTTTCCCCAAAAATATTTTTTTCTTATTTTATTAGTTTCTTCCACTGATAGGGTGTAAAAATGGCTCTTAAGGGTAAGAATGTTGTTATTGGTTCGGATACTAAGAAGAGTAGGAAAGGAGCGATTGGCGGAAGTTCTAATCGAGAAACCACCAATTTGCCACATCAAAAATATGGCAAGCAAGCTTTAATGCACTAAGGAGAGGATTGGTATGAATGTCAACAAGAATCCAAGTACCTAGGTGATGCGTATGTAGATGAGGGGCGATTGCAACAAGAATTTCCCCATATTCATGCCCAAATCCATGCTTTGGGACTTCAATATGTCTTCGTGGATCAAGGTGAGTCCAATTTAAGCTTAGTCCATGAATTTTATGCAAATTGCAATACACATCGTGTTGATTTAAACCAAGGGTTAATTAGGGATAGTCGGTTGAGATTTACTATGGAAACACCGATGAATATTTGGGTACACAAATTGTGACAATTCTGAATTTCTAGAAATGATTGAAAGACCCCCTTATCGTGATATTAGGCATACTTTGTGTGGGGTAAATTCTGTTGTGCGGTGGGATAGGGTTAGAGACACGAGACATCATTTGACTCTTCACTATTCACTTCAATTTAGAGGCTCGCATTTGGTTGAAAATTGTGTGTAGAACCTTACTACCATGTAAGCATACGACTAATGTCACTAGGGAGAGAGTGGTGCTATTATATCGTTTGATGAAGGGTTTGCCGGTGAATATGGGGGCTATTTTGAAGCAAAACATGCTTAAGTTTAGGACAAATAAGATATGGTGTTTCTGTTATGGGAGCATTATTTCTAGGTACCTCTGGGATTTACAAATTAAGGAGATTCGTTCATGATGTGTGCCCTCCCATGCCCCTCGCTTAGTATGCCGCGTGGTTGATATCACAAGAACTAAAGTGCACAATCCATCACAAGGGTCAGTGTTAACTACTATTGATAGGCAATCTTGTGATGACAGTTGGATGGGGCGTATGTTTGGAATGGCCGAGCTACAATTAAGGATAGGTGGACTTTCGATGACTGAGGATGAAATGGCGACACAGGTGGAGCGTTACCCTTTGACGGATAGCACGATGTACTTGTGTCGGATGGGCCCGACTTTCTAAGAACCCATTGATGATGATGATGCCACTGTTGATGAGGAGGGTGGCTCAGATGTGGATGCATCAAATGATACTGGCCCTGGAGATGGTGATACTAATGCGGGCCATTGATTGGTAGCACGTAGCCTAGAGGTCGAAATGGAGTTCTCTTTTACCTTTTCACTTTGTTTTATTTTGCACACTGAGGACAATATTTTCTTTAAGTGTGGGGTGGAAGTTGAACTTCATTGTACATAGTTTATTGCTTTATCGAGTCTAGTTAGTTAAGTTAGTTTTTAGTTTATGCTTAAATATTTTT